GGGGGGGCTTGCAAGAGGCAGCTGATCGATGTTTCTCTCTCATCTATGTTTCTGACTCTCTATCCCTCTCCCTTCCTCTCTATAAAAAGTCAATAAAAATATTTTTTTTAAAAACTATATGAGTAAATGCATAGGCATATTTTATGTTTTCTGTATTTGTATATCTTTAAAATATTTTATAAACTAAAATAATACATTTTATTAAAAATTCATGTGACAATATATGCTTTGGGGACCTTGTTATTGAAAGTACAGTCCACAGAACAGCTGCATTAGCATCACCTAGAAGTTTATTAAAAAATCCAAAATCTTGTACTCCCCCTAGGCCTACTAAATCAGAATCTGCTGTTTTTCCACGTTGAGATATTGTCGCATAAGATCCTAGATCAGATATTCTGGTCAAAAATGTTTTTTTCACACCCAACAAAAATTATTTTTTAACATCTATTGAGAGTGTACTGTGTTCCAAATCTTTTCTATACACTTTACTAGTGAGTTACTTATTTTGTAGATGTTTCTCAATTTGGGTTTATCTAATATTTCCTCACAGTTAGGTGAGGCAGGAATACCACAAAAATGATATTTTGCCCTTCTTAGTGCATCATTTCATGAGGTGGATGATGTTATTATCTTATTACTGATAATGTAACGGTGGTTTCTCCTGGTATTGAAATAATGCTGGTTAATATCATTGTGGTTTCCTCTTTAATACAGGAACTTCTTCTTTAATACAGGGGCTATTTAGAAATGTGTTTAATTTCCAAATATTTGGAGCTTTTTCAAATACCTTTTAGTTAGTAATTCTAAATAGTTCTGTGGTGTCATTAATTGTATTTCATATGATTTCAGTTCTTTTATTTATTTATTTTTTAAATATATTTTATTGATTTTTTACAGAGAGGAAGGGAGAGGAAGAGAGAGTTAGAAACATCGATGAGAGAGAAACATCGATCAGCTGCCTCCTGCACGCCCCCCACCGGGGATGTGCCCGCAACCAAGGTACATGCCCTTGACCGGAATTGAACCCGGGACCTTTTCAGTCCACTGAGCCAAACCGTGAGCCAAACTAGTTAGGGCTGATTTCAGTTCTTTTACAATTACTGTTTTATGGCCCAGCATATAGTTTGTTAGAGAATCTATAATAATAAAAGGCTAATATGCAAATGGTCATCACGCCCTCATGCCGTAACGACCGATCAGCAGGAGGTGCTGGAGCATCTCTCGGGCCCTTCCCCTGGCCCAAGAGCAGCGGCTCTCACGGCACAGATGGGAGGCGGGGCGCCTCATGCGATTTCGCATACTGGGCCTCTAGTATTTTTATATCTACTTAAAAGAAGGTGTATTTATACTCTTGTTGGGTGTAATGTTCTATAAAATGTCAGTTAGGTTAAGTTGATGGATTTTTTAAATAAACTCTTCTAAATCCTTACTGATTTTCTATCTACTATCTATCAATCGCTGAGATAAAAGTATTGATATCTCCAGCCATATTTGTGAAATTGTTTATTTGTACTTTAAGTTCTATCACTTTCTGCTTTATGTATATTGATGTAATGTGATTAATGTGATTAAATTCACATATATTTGGGATACTTGTGACTTTTTGATAAATTGACCTTTTTATCATTAAGTATCTCTCTTTCCCTCTTAGACTATTTCTTTTCTTAAAGTCTACTTTGTCTAGTTTTGTAATGTTTGTATGATATGTCTTTTTTATTTTGGTAAGTCTTTTTTTTAAAAAAAATGACTGTTCCTCTGAGCTGGTTTGGCTCAGTGGATAGAGCGTCAGCCTGCAGACTGAAAGGTCCTGGGTTCGATTCTGGTCAAGGGCACAGCCTACCAGCAATAAAGAAGGTTCCAATTTCTCCACATCCTCATCGACACTTGTAGTTATCCAAGTGGGTATAAACTGATATCTCATTTGACAGATTCTCTCTTTGACCAAACTTTAGACAGACTCCTCTGAGCCCTCTTTTGCACTGTCCTTGGCCTACATAAGCCAGTCTTAGCAAAGAATCCTGCTGTCATTCCCTCCCTCCCCCTTGTTATCTGAGAAGGTTCCTTATCCTCCACCTTTGATGTATAACTACCTAGCCTGCCTTTAGCAAAAATCTTACTCAGCCAGTTTAGCAAGAAACTCTCTACCCTTGATGTCTCCTCTTAGTAATTTTCTGTCCACTAACCTCCTCACTATGTATGTTGGCTATAAATCCCATTTGTCTCTGCTGTATTCAAAGTTGAACACACTTTTTCTCCCCTGTTGCAGTAGTCATGATCCCTATTCCAGTAGTCTTGAATGTTTTCTTAATCATTTTACAAGTGTCAGAATAATTTTTCTTTAACATGTTGTGGTTTGGGCTTATATATCCTAGTATGTATTTTTAAAGTGTTTTTATTTTGTAGACAGTATATAATTAAGCCTTGCTTTTTTTTATTCAATCTAACAATCTGTGCCTTTTGATTGGAGTATTTGACCATTTATTTTTTATTTTAATTTTTTAAATATGTTTTTATTGATGTGAGGAGGGGGGGGAGATAGAAACATCAATGAGAGAGAAACATTGATTGGCTGCCCCTGCATGCCGCCTACTGGGGATCAAGCCTGAAACCCGGGGATGTGTCCTGACCAGGATTTGAACCAGCAACCCCCTGGTGCATGGGATGACATTCAACCAACTGTGCCACACCAGCTGGGCATGGGGTATCTGACCATTTATATTTGATATTAATTATTCATAAGGTTCAGTATAAGCCTACATCTTGATAGTATTGTTCAATCAGTACTATGTTTTTTGTTTCTTTTTTTCTCTTTTCCTCCCTTCTTTTGAATTGATTGATGTGTTTCTTTTTTTATTTCATTGACTCCTCATTCTTTTTTTAAGTGATTGATCTAGACTTTGTAATATACATACTTTACAGTATGTATTTTTGTCTTCTCATAGTCTACTTTCAAATGATATTAGACCAATTTAGGTATAATGTGAAAACCATGTAACAGTATGCTTTCATACCTTCTTTTTATCTTTTATGTTATTTTTGTCTCCACAATACAATCTTGTTAAATTTACTTTGAAAAGTC